GTTCAGCTGGTGTCTTGGCTTTCCATGCCTTTTTACACCTCCCTTTCTTCATGTGTTCAATACTTTTTCCCTGTGCCTTTCCACATTATTACAAATAACTTCATTTCTGGACATTTATGGTTTGATTTCTTTGTATGTATGGATCACTTGGGTTGAAACCAACATTTGGTGAAAATTTCATGTCATTAGCACCTCTAGTAATATATGTACTGAGAAAAATGGTGACGTGTTCAATACTTATTTTACCCACTATATATTATACACTGTTATTGTCATAAAAATGAACCGAGAAAGACCATTAAATCATATTGTTTTTAACTAAATTGTGCACCAAAATACAGTCAATTATTTGTAATTAAAAAGTCTCTTTCTAATGTTTTCTTGTTTTTAATGCATGTTTGAATGTAAACGGTACACTGTAAATGTTTTGTGTGTGTGAAATCAAGAAAAATATGATCTGTCAGACCTTTTGACATGCATTTAATGTCTTCAGATAAGATTTCAAGCTAATCTGACTAAATGTTTCTCTAAGGTTTTCTTTTTTGAAACACCAGAGAAACTCAGACTGTTTCATTTTGTGTGCTTTACTTTGTCAATAACAACGAGGCCTGCCGGCAGCTGGCATCTGGGTCTTCGGATTATTTTAGAGCCTGAATGCACCACAGCTGCGGGATCAGTTTCCCGAAGGGACCTGGATATCCATTGATTTATCGTGAAGCTGTGGACTTTGTCTTCCAGCTGCTCCAGAACGTTCTCCTGCGACCTTGACATGAAAACAAAGTCCAGTGACTCACGGCTCTCTCAGTTGTGACTCTTTAAGGGTTGAGTGCAGGAATGAGTACTGGACCTATTTTTCTTTTAGATTAATGTAAAAGATGGTGCTTGACCTCATCACATTAATTATAATAGTTGTGGAAGAGTTGATAAGTGTTATTTTATTTAATGAAATGTTCTTAAATTTTAAATAAAAACAAATCATTTTTGTTCCATGTGTTTCTTTCTCCCCACCAGGGCAGGATGCAGTCTTCAAACCACCGGCTACGAGACATGGAGCAGCATCACCCGCTGCTGTCGGCAGGCGCAGACGTGGAGATGGGGGGCCTGGGAGCCGGCGTGATGGTCGGGGGCCCCCACTCGGGCCACACAGCAGGAAACCGCACACTGTGGTTCATTCAGGACAGCTGCGGGATGGTGTGCGCCACCATGACCTGGTTCCTGGTTCTGTACGCCGAGTTTGTGGTGAACTTCGTCATGCTCCTGCCCGCCAAGAACTTCTGGTACTCGCTGCTGAACGGGGCCACCTTCAACTCCCTGGCTGTGCTCGCGCTGGCCTCGCACATGCGCACCATGTTGACTGACCCGGTAAGGAGGGTAAAGCCACTCAGGATGGGTGATATTGAGCAAAGGAAGTCATCAGTTTGGTGCATTTTTAAAAGGAGAAAGTCTCCTGGAGATGTTTTGACAGTACAAGCTAACAGCGCAATCTAAAAGGGCTGCCACAGTCTGACACTTGGACTCACTTGTTAATATAATCTGGAACACTGCATTGATGGAGTGTGTAAAGTGTGTGAGAGGAAGCTTTGTGTAAAAAGCTGCACAGAACACCATTATTCTGAATGTCTATCAGCTGCTTTATTTAATGAAACAACACAGTTCAGGCCTTCATCCAAGCTGATTTATTTGTCTTTTTAGGTATCGGTTTAATTTTTCTATTAATTTTATTCATGCAGGTCTCTTTTTAAACGTAGCGAGTTAAACAGTTTGATGAAAAATGTTCCATTCAGTTTGATGTGCAGGTTTTTTATTTTTATGGTTGTGATGTTTGCATCCAGCTGATCATGTCTGACTGTGATATCACAAAAACCTCTCTGCTTTCTGACTGGATTGAGTCTAGCCAATTCCTCTTTTAAAGCAATCCTGGTCCTTGGCACTATCCAGCATGTTTTCAGTGTTGTATAAAGTACTGCAAAGTGATACTTGAGTAAAAGTACAAGTATCTTATCATAAAAATACTTTGGTAAAAGTTAAAGTCTTCTCTAAAAATATTACTTGAGTAAAAGTCTTAAAGTATCTGATATTTTTTGTACTTAAGTATCAAAAGTAAATCTCTGACACAAAATCTACTTA